ATAAGCGAAACATTTTAAATAAAAAAGGGTGATTAAAATTTTTGGTAGATTTCATGGGAAAAATTTATTTTATTAAAAGTAAATACAAAGTTTGACATAAAGAAAAATATTGAAATGTCAGTATAATTTGTTTTTGTGTAGGAAGTTAAAGTTTTGTATTTATGACACTTAACTCAATTCTGTTTTTATTTAAACAATCCAATAACATATAAATACTATTCCCTGTTAAATCCACACTGTAAAAAATTCCAGCTCAAATTACTGTAAAAATTACCAGCAGGTACTTCTTACCGAAATATCTATTTTTACTGGAACAGACTACCGAACAAAAAAATATATTACCCTAAGTTTTACAGTAATAATTACCGTTAAATCACTCTAAATAAATAAATATTACTGTAAAATGTACGGTATAATATTTTACGGTAAAAAATGAATTTTACGGATGATGCATCTAAAGTGCCGGTACCCTGTACAGTAATTTGATCCGGAATTTCTTATAGTGCATATAATATATTAAAAGGATTTTAACAGTACATACCAATTTAACAGTACATACATTTTAACAGTACATACCAAGTTTACCTGACAATGATCAAATTTACAAACTCGTATCACGTTCATTTAGAGCTAATATGGCTAACACGTGGTAGACGTGTCCATGATACGCATTACATATAAAGATAACAGGTACGCATGCATTATACATTGTATACACAAATCCATTGCATACTGAAATCAATAATAAAATTTACTTAAAACTTTAAAATTATCAAAAGTTTAAAAAAAAGCTCTCAGAATTATGTTTTCAATTTGTATATTTAGAATACTGTTTTCAAAATTACTAAATGGTGCTTAAAAAACATACACATTCCCACATTTTTTTATTATTACATTTTGTAAGGCAAAATTTTTAACTTATCCTGTGTTCTTCGTATTAATAGGCAAAAATTGGCTTTCAATTTGATCTCTACTTAAATCTTACATACGCAAAATGATTACTTAGAGCCGTGATTGCCCGGAGAAAGAACCTTCTAATGGTCACCTCAGGTGAACTGAGTTCGAATTCCATCGATGACTAGTCGATACGAATTCCGAACCCGGCTCGCACTGTCTACGGAGCTGACTCAAAAATATCCTCAGTGGTAGACGAATCATGGGTTAGAGTCCCCTTGCCATCAGGCTAATCGTGGAGAGTTTTTCCTCTCCATATAACTCAATTTCGGGTTAGTGTCCTCCACGAAGGCAAATTTCTTCCAATACTTGATCTTGGAGTTCCCTTGTTTTCTGGGTTGGGTTCAAAATGACGATGCTGCAGAGTTGACCATCGGAGTCGTAAACCCAAAATTGGGTCGGCTGCTCAACGACGGTTATGAAATTAAATAAAATGATTACTCACTCAAGAAATGTAGAGTCAACATTGATTTATTCGATTCCAAAACTTTTAAACTGAAAATTTCAGAATGATCTCAAAAAGACTTAATTTTTTAAATCAGGTCAGTTACCGTATAATAAAAGAAAAAAAAATTTCAATACAAAAATAGTTAAGGCAAAACTGGTTGTAGCTTTAAAAGTTTTGGTTTAGACCCAATATTGAAACCTGAAGTTTGCTTTCTCTCCAGGATAATTGAATATATTGAATTTAATGTGGGGAGGGGGTTGAGGAGGTTGAAGGGGAAACATAAACATTATTATCTAGGCAAGGGATAAGTTGTAATTTTTACAAGGAATCAAACGATACCGTAATAAAGTTGATAAAAATTAATAATTCAGAAGTTTTTAGGTATTAGAATGTATGAAGTATTAAAGAAAGTGCAATTATTGATTATTCCTATTTACTTTTCTGAAATTTCTACATAGACAAGTAAGAAACCATTTTTCCTTGTATTTTTTCGTTTCATTGAATGATATCAAATCCAAGTCAACAAGACTAATATAGTACTAAAAAAGAGTTATAAAAGTTTCATACATAAAAAGTCTCATTTTTGTAGCCATAGCTTTTTATGATCTTGACCTTAATATCTCAAAAAGTGAATTGTGGTTTCTTTCGCATTTTTGTACTGTTAATTAAATAAAGCCAAAATCAAATTTATAGAATTAATTGTTCCGAAATTATAAGTATTTTGTGCGTAAAAACATAAGTGAAAAACATCTCTCCATTTTAAGTTTTTTCGTGTTCCGGATCCTTTAGAATATTACAGTTGATTGAAACAAGGTATGCATAGTTGGACAACTGAGATTATTGATATCTATTGTTATTATATATCATTTACTTATTAATTTAATATTTTAATAGAAAAATCTCCATATTTTAAAACTCAGGGCAGAAAGTCTTAAAAATTGGAAATCTTATTCTTATTAATTTATACCTTATTAATCTTATTAATTTATATTTAAGTAGAAAATTCTCCATATTTTAAAACTCGGGGCAGAAAATCTTAAAAATTGGAAATCTTATTCTTATTAATTTATATCTTATTAATCTTATTAATTTATATTTAAATAGAAAAATCTCCATATTTTAAAACTCGGGGCAGAAAATCTTAAAAATTGGAAATCTTATTCTTATTAATTTATACCTTATTAATCTTATTAATTTATATTTAAATAGAAAAATCTCCATATTTTAAAACTCGGGGCAGAAAATCTTAAAAATTGGAAATCTTATTCTTATTAATTTATATCTTATTAATTTATATTTAAATAGAAAAATCTCCATATTTTAAAACTCGGGGCAGAAAATCTTAAAAATTTAAAATTTTATTCTTATTAATTTATATCTTATTCTTATTCATTTATATCTTATTAATTTATATTTAAATAGAAAAGTCTCCATATTTTAAAACTCGGGGCATAAAATCTTAAAAATTGGAAATCTTATTCTTATTAATTTATACCTTATTAATCTTATTAATTTATATTTAAATAGAAAAATCTCCATAGTTTAAAACTCGGGGCAGAAAATCTTAATAAGATTAATAAGATATAAATTAATAAGAATAAGATTTTAAATTTTTAATTTATATTTAAATAGAGAAATCTTCATATTTTAAAACTCGGGGCAGAAAATCTTAAAAATTAGAAATCTTATTCTTATTAATTTATATCTTATTAATCTTATTAATTTATATTTAAATAGAAAAATCTCCATATTTTAAAACTCGGGGTAGAAAATCTTAAAAATTGGAAATCTTATTCTTATTAATTTATACCTTATTAATCTTATTAATTTATATTTAAATAGAAAAATCTCCATATTTTAAAACTTGGGGCAGAAAATCTTAAAAATTGTTTTGTAGAAAACAAAATTTGGAGGCTCTCATACAGTTTTAACGATTACAATTAGCTCACAAAGTTAAGTTTGAAAAAGACATGGCTTTTCCGAAGTCAAAAATATACAATTTGTGGGTGCGAGTATTAACTGCCGCCAGTTAATAAGGAAGTTGCGTTTGACTAAACAGTTGTTCCTCCACGTCTATACTACGTTGCATTATCATCATTTTCCTGTCTCAGGAGATATGTTTCAACTAAGAATATTACGAGGTATGAATGAGTTTGAGTAATTTTTGGGATTAAGGTAATTAAAAATTTTAAGCACTATTAAAATGATTGAAAGTTTTTACTATGTTTTCGGTTATTTATTTAAGATTAAATAATTGCCACAGTTGTTTTAATGTTTTTGTTTGCCTTATTGCTATGTAAAGTCATTCAAAAGGTAAGGAGCAGTTTTTAAAATAAAATTGTACAATTAAGAACCAAAAAACTAAATATTATTTGAAACCTGTATCTATTTAAAAAAAAGAATTATTTTTATTTATTTTTTTGTTTCTATTGATGTTTATTTATTTGTTTTTATAAATTAACTTTCCTTATCCAAGGACATATTTTTGAGGAAAAAAAATCTTAGTTATCTACTTTTTTTAGTAAATAATTATTTAATAATTAGTTTTTAATAATTTTGAAATTAAAATAGTCTTCGTATTTCAGAAAAATACTTTTTTTTAAAAAAAAATTTTAAATAATTAATGTAAGTAAAATTTAATAAATGTGGTTAATAATTACACGGGAGAAAAAAAGTATGATATAAAAAAAAGTATTACCTGAATATGGTAAAATTTTCAGTGTTTCTTGTGCTATGGGAAAACCAAAAAGCTCGGTAATTTTAACTAAAACGCTTTAATAGTGATTTTGGTGAAATTAACGTAAAATATAGTTTTATAATCTGTGATAAAATTTAATAAATGTGGAAAAATTTGTTACTTTTATCATGATACCTTAGAGCATGGCATAAAAACAATTTGCTCGGTTAAACTTACTTTTCAATTTTGTATATTTTACTAAATGTGTGATAATAACTTTTATATTATATAACTATAACTTTTAAAAGCAGAATTTCCGGTGAACCGTTACCATATGAATAGAAAAATCCCCAAATGAATAATAAAATTATCATATATTTTGAATAAATAATCCCAAGAAACTGAAGCAATATTCCGTATATTTTGGCTTCATTCTCCAGAATTATGATTTCTTTTTTACCAGAAATGTCACTTACCATACAGTGCTGTAATTTTAATAGAATTTTCTTTCTTCGAGCAAGAAGATTGACATACAATTTTATAAATTGTTTAAATTCTTTCATTTAAATAATTTTTTTTAACTTTTAAATTTTCCAGTTATTCTTTATAATGATACTGTATGCAATTCTAAACGTTTTTTATGTTAGTTTTGATTTGTTGAAATTATCTATAAGCTCAAGCTCTCAATCTTTTTTATTATAAATTATCCCTGAAATTTTTTATAAAATTTAAATTTAAGAATTTTAATTTACAGTTCCACTTTGAAATTTAACAGTTTATGAATTATTGTTTTTTTTTTACCAGAAAATTCATAACAGTACGATAATTTTACCAGAATTTTTTCTCCGTGCACTGTTTAGAAATTTAGAATAAATTGCGTTGTGCTCATTGTAGTTTAAAGTTCTTGTTCCTTTCTTTCAGATGTTTACCATGAGGCTTGTTCATTAGAAGCAATGCATAAACGAATTCTAATCTTCATTTTAGTCCTGAGCACTTGTGATGCTGGCAGATACGGATGCCCTACCAGAGCACAAATTAAACCTTGCATTTGTCAAGAGAAATCAAGAGGATTGGACATATCGTGCGAGAAGGCTAATGCCGAACAGCTCAGAGAAGCTATGGCTAGTATAGCTCAAACCAAACAGGGAATTTGGTACCTGAAATTCCGCAACAACCGTCTCGTCAATTTACCGTCCCAAATCTTGCTGGGTTTGGATGTTCGTCATTTCATTGCACTGCACTGTAATCTCACTTCAATAGATGAAAACGCTTTTACGGGTATTGCAGCCAGGCTTGAAACATTAGATTTGGCACAAAATGAATTTGAACGAATACCTAGCCGAGCCATTGAAAATCTATCAGTTTTGGTCTCTCTGAACTTCAATTACAACAGATTAGAAATCCTGCACGCTGAAGCCTTCAAAGTAAGATTTTTTTTTATCTTGATGAAAAGTTAAATTTATTTTTTACATAGCAAATAATTTCTGAAATTTAAACAAGTATGGAAAATTAAAAAATCAAATTGTTTTAAAGTACTATAAGTTCAAATTTCAAACAATTAGTGTACAGATGACAGAATGCGATAATTTCTATGTTCACTTAATAATCATAATAGTAAAAAAAATGCTGTTATAATAGACACTTAAAGTTTTATTTTTTAAAAGCTAGCTTATATTTAAATATAATGATGAGAGATATCGGAAATGGAGTAATAGATGGGAAAATGTGTTTTAGCAGTTGCCAAATTAATGGAATTAATTTTAAAGACTTTTTTTTTCTTTTCACACAGGATTTTAAAATGTTCATTTTTTGGCTAAAATGAACATGTTTCTACAATATTATTCCAACTCTTAAAATTACATGAACTTCACTTGCATGTTTATTAAAAAGTAAAGACATTTAAATAGTCTATTACGCACGGTGAAAAATTCCTTATAAAATTCCGGTAAAAAGTACCGGTACTCAGGGTGCTGGTACTTTTTACCGTAAAATCCATATTCACCAGTGGAACATTTTAAGAAAAAAAATTGGATACACCGTAATTTTTACAGTAATCGTTACCATAAAATCCCTCTAATTAAATAAATATTAGTGTAAAAATTACTGTATTATGTCTTATGGTAAAAATAGACTTTAGGATAAAATGAATTTTACGAATGGTGCATCTAAAGTGCCAATACTTTATACCGTAATTTTCCCTGGAAATTTATATATATATATATATATATATATATATATATATACGGTTATATATATATATATATATATATATATATATATATATATATATATATATATATATATATATATATATATATATATATATATATATATATATATATATATATATATATATATATATATATATATATATATATATATATATATATATATATATATATATATATATATATATATATATATATATATATATATATATATATATATATATATATATATATATATATATATATATATATATATATATATATATATATATATATATATATATATATATATATATATATATATATATATATATATATATATATATATATATATATATATATATATATATATATATATATATATATATATATATATATATATATATATATATATATATATATATATATATATATATATATATATATATATATATATATATATATATATATATATATATATATATATATATATATATATATATATATATATATATATATATATATATATATATATATATATATATATATATATATATATATATATATATATATATATATATATATATATATATATATATATATATATATATATATATATATATATATATATATATATATATATATATATATATATATATATATATATATATATATATATATATATATATATATATATATATATATATATATATATATATATATATATATANATATATATATATAAACTTATTTGAACTTAAAAATTTATTTGAAGATTGTGTCAATTTTTTTTCATGAAATGTTCAACAATATTTATTAATATAATTATTTAAATAATTATTTATATAATTTTTTAATTTATTATATTTACTTTATTTTTTTAAGTTCTAATTATTAAATTAAACAAATAATGAAAAAATTAAAGAGCGAAAATTTCGTAGCCAGATTAAAAATTTAGCTTCTCAGAGATAAAATTATTAACAGACCAAGTTTTGAAACTTTCAAAATGCTTTGTAATCTGCCGGATTTTCCTTTATTAAATATTCACTCACTTTAAAACTTTATTTTCCTCAAGGTGTTTGATACAAAGTTTGCGACATAAAAAAAAAGTAATCAGTGAAAAAATTCGAAGTATGATATTAGAAATTTAACGAACATTCTAAAATGGAAAGTTTTGTTCCAATATGATAAATGAAAGAACTTTTCTTTTTACTGTTGTTTCTAATTACTACTTTGTTTCGCAATTCAAAAGATTAGGTTAATTGACAGGTAGGATAATTTGTATAAATGAGCTGTTAAACAATTCTTTTATTGAACATGATATAATGCAAACAATTCGCGCGAAACTACAGCTACATATTAGGATGAAAACTTACTTGATTTGACATCAAGTTTTTGATTTTGTGATAAAATATTTATTACTAAGTAAATCAATCAATTTATGCTTATAATACATGAAAATTAATTTTAATATTTAAAAAATTACGATAAGTAAATGAGAATTAAATGTTTTTATACAGCTGTAAATAAGAATTTTTGCTGTAATCATTATTTTATTCAAATAATGAAATTCATTGTTTTATGCGAAATTTTATTTAGGGATAAAAGATGACCAAATACGAAGTTGAATTTATTTGCTAATTAACTTAAAAGAAAATTGTTTATGATGGTAAAAAAGAGGCTTCATTAATTTCTGTGGTATATTTATGCATAACATAACGAGAAAAGAAATTGATATATAAGGGTGTCCCGTCACACTGTTAAAATGTTCATTAAAATTACTGTAAAATAACCGGCAGCATTCTGTGCATCCAATTTAACCGTGAAATTTACGGTAAAAAACACAATTTTACTTTCTGCAAATAGTATGGTTAAAAAACCATCAATACAAAACTATACGGTTTTTAACCATTTAAAATTAGCATGGTTTCAAAACCATAGAAAGGAAATTTAACTGGATATTAGAGCTATACTTTTTGTTAGGTACAAGGCATTTTAGTTAGGCTGTAGTTGAGTTGTGTTTGATCAAATTATCCGTAGGATGTGATTTAATTAGTTTATCTGGTTGTTTCACCTATCTTAAGAGCTGGGAAATACTAGACGTTTCTGTGTTAAGCAACTCTAAGGTGCTGTCAAGTATGAGTGAATAATCCAGGATTACAGTTTGGAAAGAGTTCGACACTGGAAACTCTTGATGTGTAGAAGAGAATGAGAAAACACTATGTCAACAGTGGAATATATCAACACTGGAACTCGAACCCCCGTTCTTTCAGTCATGAAATTGACAGATTAGCCATCTCCTCTATAATACGCACCCAGCTACTAGGAACTAAGTGGCTTCATTAGGTGGGTTTAGTTAATTCGAGAAAATTCTGGTTGTTTAACCATATTAGGTGAAAGCAGCTAATAAGCAGTTTTCTTGCAGTTAACAGTTTGATTATCGTCTTATTTATGCTCATTTTACTGTTTTGCTTAAATATGGTAAAATATCAAATAAATTGTTCGAATATCAATTTTTTACGAGAAATTTATAACAGTGCTGGACCACCATATACACCGAAGAGCCATTACATTATGACCATCCTCCATCTATAACAATGGACTCGCCCAGGTTTTCATGATTACTCGCCCAGGAACAATGTTTTCATGGGGCACATTAGGATCCATAATCCTCATAGAGCAATCCCTGACGTCTGTAAGCTACTTGAACATAGTTTCAGACCAGGTTCACCCATTCATGGCAACAGTTTTTCTTGCGGGGGATTGTGTTTACCAACAAGATAAAGCACCATGTCATAAGGGTCGAATCGTCGAGGAACATTCCAGTGACTTTCAAGTCATATCTTGGCCCCCAAATTCACCTGACCTTAATCCAATAGAGCATTTGTGGTCCTACTTGGAAAACCAAATTCGTGCTGCCATGCTACCCCCTCGCAATGTGAGGGAATTGCAGGACCAGTTGGTGAGCGCTTGGTTCCAGATACCTCAGACTAGCTATCAGCACCTTGTGGAATCAATGCCATGGCGGGTGCTAGCAGTTTTGAGGGCTAAAGGTGGTCCTACATATCATTAGCAGGTTGGTCATAATGTAATGGCTCTTCGGTGTATACATATGGGATATTCCCATAAAAAGCAGGAATTTCATTTTCTGAATTCCTTTTAAAAAGAATTTCTCGAATCTAGTTTATATTTCAATTTAAGAGAGATATGATATTATTTAATGATTCTGCTACAGTGATTGATATTCTAAATTCAAATTAGTTAAGTTATTTGAACATGATAACGTCCTCCAGCGAGACAATCATTTTCACAAGCAAATAATATTACTGGTATTTGATAAAACATAATTAAATCTTATTGCCATCTCATTAAGAATTAAGGAATGAAGTCTCCTTAGAAATCAAATACAAATGAGCTTATAACAAAACAATAACAAAACAGATTGATTTTTTATTCTCGCTTAAATTGTTATATGAGTAAGTAATTTATTAATAACATTAGCTACATATACTTAATAAATACGGAAACTCGAATATTCAAAAAATACGGAATATAATTCAAAAAATACGGAAACTCGAATATTTACTCAACTTACTTCGTTAGCTAACTTTGTATACCACTGACTTTTAAATTTTATTCAACATAAGTTAAATAGAATACATGAAGAAAGATCAAGTTAAATAGAATGCATATACTATAAATGAGTTTTTTTTAAAAATTCTTAGTTCAAAAACTGCATGTACTTATTACAAATAATTAAACATAGATATTGACTAACAATTACATTATTTATTTAAGATACTAAAAATTTATTATTGACTTATTTATTAAGATGCTTTCTGAAACGAAAATGTTATTTATTATGTTCACGATGTTACAGTTTTTAATGCTTTTTACTTGTATTCTTTTATTACACATAAACATATTTCATATATTACACGAAAAAATTACTTCTTAGTATCATATTTACTTTAATTTTTATTTATTCATTTATTGCAATTTTGGTTTTAATTACAATAGTTTAAATTACAATTTTTAATTTAATTACAATTGATTTACAGTTTAATTACAATTTAATTTTAGTTACGAATTTAATTATTTTTGTCCTGAATTCTTCATGCATGGTTTAGGAAAGTTTAACATAGGGAGAAAAACATTCTGGTAAAATTACCGTACTGTGTGATTATAACATGACCAATAATAAAATAAAATAATATATATACATACATAATTCTGGTTAATAAAACCAAAGAAAAATATTTAAATCATTCATTTTTTTAATTTTTCCGTTTATAAGGTAACGGTTTACCGAAAATTCTGGTTTTCAGAATTAAAATTCTTATTAAGACACATTTGTTTAAAAATACAGAACTGAGAATTTATAATAAACTGAATAAATTTAATAAATTTAACAGAAAAAAATGGTTTTTATGCCGTACTCTAAGATATCATTATAAAACTAAAGCTACCAAATTTTACAGCAGTTGTCAAATTTTATCACGCAATTCAAAACCATATTTTGTTGTAATTATACCAAAATCATTAAAATTTTTTAATTACTTATCTAGCTCATTAATTTCGTTTTCTATCAAAGTTTTAATGATATTTAATAAAAGTATGTTTCTATTTCAAATTGCTTTATTGCTCTTAGCCCATTTTTGACATTTCAGATGATTAACATTCAGAATTCACCAAAAATAGTTTAGTTTTTCGTACACAGAAATATTATTAAACTTAATATACTATTACTATTGCATTATATTTTACTATTACTATTTATATCTGGAACAAATATGATGAAATTCAAAAATGATGATGGGAATGTTGAAGCATAAAAATGAATTTAATTGCATTTTAAAATCACTCTGAGTTTAATTATATAAAAACTTCGTATCATAGAACGGTCACCTATGTAAAAGAAATTTTGCATTTAGCTGTAGTTATGGACTTTTTTTCTGAAAACGAAACAAGTATTTCAAATTCATCATTGAAATTATTGCTATTTTCGATTGATGGTCAGTTTTAACGTGAGTTTTTTGAACTCCAAAATATTAGTTACAATACTGAAATTTGAAGCAAAAAACTAAGTTTTAACATATGTTGAAACTTAGTTTTTTGTCTCTAGTTAAAATGTCTCTAGATAAAATTCGATTTCCGAAGTAAGAAATTATATTTATTTCAAAAAAATAAGTTTTTGTGTATGGTATTGTAGGCAAAATGCTCTTCTATTGGTAATAATTACATTACTATATACTGTACAAAAGGAGAATAATCGCTATTTTATCAATAACTGTCCAAAAAATTATAATTAACAATTCGCATTGACAGATATTACAATATATTTAAAGGGATATTTTTAATTCGTATAGGTTTTTGGTTTTATTAATAGTATATAGTAGCTAATAATTGGCAGTATAAAATATAAACAATCTTATATTTGCTATATTATGTATTAGCAGAAAACTAAAAACTCATTTTTAAAACTATTTTTTTCTGGTACATAAGTTACGTTTGAGTTGCTTTCTAAGACATTGATAAAATGTTAATAAAGTAAGACAAGAAATGTATAACTCAATATTAAATTCAAAGCTTTCGCTTGTAGATGGCAGCACCAAATATTTCTTGAAGACTGTCTCATGATTCAACACTAGACAAATTACTGCTACTATCATCGAAAAAATAAATAATTGAAAGGAAAATTTAATTATTAAAATTTGTCTAATGAATCAATCTTAGACAAGTTACAGCTAATATTGTAGAAAAATAAATAAATAAAAAGTAGAAAAATTTTATTTAGAGCATCTCATTGCTTTATATGATTGCTGTTGTAAGTAGCAATAATATTTTTAAATTTAAATTAAGCTACTAGTCAAAAATTGAAAACTTATTAAATTTAATAATGATTAGAAAGAGTTGAAATTGAATTTATTTCATGAAAAAAGTAGTAATGTAATATAATAAAATAAATGTAAAATAAATACTCGTTGCGCAATATTCTACACTCCATGTCACTATCTTACTATTAGTCACCAAATTCTGGAGCTTCAAGAACTTCTGGCTCCCAGAGGGCTGTTACGAGAATGCTTAGTTTTTAGTTTACGTTACATAAGCACGTGACATTAATAGAATAGAATAGAAGATATGATTGATATGATATGATATGATATGATATGATATGATATGATATGATATGATATGATATGATATAATGTAATATAATATAATATAATATAATATAATATAATATAATATAATAAATTTCAAATTATTATGTATGAAATATTTATCTAGTCTGTTCACATTGTCTTTATTTTTTTAGGGTTTACATTCGTTATTGAGGCTTTCGCTTTATGGTAATCGAATTAAATTCATCGACAATTTGGCATTTGTCGGAATTGGTTGGAACCTGACACGAATAAATCTTGGAGCCAACCAGTTGACTGCCGTGCCATCCAGGCCTCTCAAGAATCTATCCCTTCTGCAAAGACTACAATTGCACGAAAATCAAATAGAAGCATTATTGCCAGAAGAGTTTGCCAACATGGGAGGAGACTCACTGGATGTTTTAGATTTAGCCAACAACCGAGTTCAGATTTTGCCAACCAGGGCATTCATGTCACTTCATTTGTTGAACTCGCTCGATTTAGAAAGAAATCTCATTACGTCTATAGATATTCACGCCTTTGAAGGAATCGAAAGTAAGTTTAAATTTCAATGTTAATGTTCTATTATAAAGATTCTATTAAAGATGTCTTACAATTCTTCGTGAATGTCTAAAAGAAGCATAAAGTTTGTAAAGAATTGCGAAATCCTCATCATCTATTTAAATATTTCTGTTTTAAAAGCCAATACAAAATCTTCCTTTAGGTCATGGTTTTGAACTATTTAATTACAGTTTCTGCAAAGTTTTATGAGCAAATTTTAAGTTATTTTGCATACATTTTATTTTAAAGTAAGTTTCCTTTCATATTTTTTTATTAATTAATATGCATTCATTGATTATCAAGTTTTATCTATCAAAGTTTACAATGCACGATAGACTGTCAATTAAACAATTAAAGTAAAAATAAACAAAAATCTTTAACTGGCTGAGGTTGCTCAGAGGATAGAGCGGATGATGAAGTGCATAATGAAGTGCAGCGCCGGCGGAAGACGTTCCTGCGCCCTTAATTCAATTTTGGAAAAGGAATATAAATTTAAAAAATAACTTTTTATCTCGAATTGTCTCGCATGTGTAGCTATAACGCTGTAGAAAATTGCTTTTTATATTTCAAGTAACAATATTTCAACACGAAAATTATAAAATATGTATCAATCCTTAATGTTGATTTAAGAAAATAGGAAAAAGATAAATAGTAATTAACGCATTCAAGGTAAGAAATCAAAGCCGTTAATTTAATTAACGTGAATACCATCTCAAGTATTCTTGAATAAATATTTATTACAGGTAATGATTTAAATCAGCATAATCTGTTATGACAAGCATAATCATTGAAATTTATTTTTTCGCGCTTTAGCATGCGAAAATAATTTTATCGAATCTTCGAAATCGATTGCTATGGCGGTTTCATTTTCGATTGAAATTATTGCCAAAGATTTTTGTCTTTTTTGAGTCAATGTACTCCTTAAACAGATTTTTATAGAATTTAAGTTGCTAAAAAATCCTTCACCACTTCCTACACATACTGTGATTGTTAATAAAATTTTTAAACTTTGCCACAAGTTAGGAAAATTATATTTTAAGTTGTTCATATGAATGAACTTTATAAGATCAATTGGTCATGTATTTTCTTCCGATAAGAAGTGTCTAATTTGATATTTCTTCACAGAGTTCTTCTCCAATAATGTCACTTTCACCTTCTCCAACATTTAAATAATTCTTCAACGCTAAACATTCCTTTAAAAGTTCTTCCCTATCTCGGAAAGCTTTTATTTTGTGCAGTAACTTCCACATTGCGGTATAATTCTTTAATGAAGTGAATTGATCATGAAACAAAGTTACTGCATTATCTAATAAGGGAAAAATTCCTTCTTTTTTAAATAAAAACTCAGACTTGCTATTAGAAGAAATATCATGATCTAATTCGTAAATAGTCATATAGCTTCCTTCTTTTCTTAGATCGTTTATCGCTTTTAAACTCGACTGGTTTGATTGCGAGCTATTCACAAATCTCTTTTGCATATACCTAAACTTTATTTAATACACTTTCCCTGCACTTAAAAAATAAATATATAAATAACGGCAGCTTATAATTAAATTTAAAAAAACCTTTGATTGCATGGACAAGCTTATATTTACTTCTGAGAGCATTTCATACCATGTAATAAGAATAACTACAACCGAAAAATCAGACATTAGAAGTTCCAAAGATCTTCAGACCAAATTTTAGGATCATCAGTTTCAGCTGAAAGTTCATTTAAGGCAGAAATTACTTCTTTTATATGATATCGCACGGACTTCACGCATTCTACCTGACTTTCTTATCACGTTTCCAAATTTCTTTTAGAATCATGTGTTAAACATGTTTTTTTATTATCTTCCGCCTTTTTGAAAAAGCACTAAATAAAATGAACAGGCACTAAATAATCCCAAATAATGATACACTATTTACTGATGACGCTGCAGTATCACCAACAGCAATATTCAAACAATGACACCACAAGGGTAGAAAAATGCTCTAGGATAAAAACGGCTGATTCTCGCTTGAACATCTTTATAAATTCAAAACATATTTAACTCATTGTCGTAGCTTTTACCCCTGCAGTTTCTCATTCATCCATTGCTAATTATATAAAGGACAAGGACAAAATATTAAAAAAAATTAAAAATGTTTTATAAAAACATTTTAGCTTATGCATATGTTTTTAAAATTTTTAACACCTTTCCTTTCACTTGATAATAACGAGGCTCTCTTTTGAAAAAAAATTATAAGAACTATTAAAATGTAAGTCAAATGGCTTCTTCAAACGCAGCAATTAATAATAAATCGAAAACAAAAGAGAGAGAGAAGCCTATTGCCGAAATAGAAAATAATATAAATTAAATATAGGCTACACAGAATTTTTTTAACTCACCTCATGTGATAAAAGCATCATCGATTTAAGCTACACCTGTGCGAACTACATAGAGTGAGTGATACATAGAACTACATAGATACTATCAATCCTTTGACTTGATAATTATATCAAGTTCTCTTTTGAACCAAATAGTTATAAAAAATCATTTATTTAATTTTTTGGCTCCAAATATTCCTCTCAGATGCAGCTATTAATTATAATTAGAAAACAAAGAAAAACAATGTTTATAACTGAAATAGACAATAGTATTCATCGAATCTAGACTACCCCGAATTTTTTAGCCAGCCTCATATCATAATTGCATCAAAATCGATTTCAGCGACACATAGGCACATAAGCACAAAATAAAGTTTTTTTAACAAACGTTTTATAAATATTTTTTGTGATATGTATATGTTTTTAGAAATTTTGACACCTATCGTGTACTTTATATATAT